CCTGATTTTTGTTCCTGGCAAAAAAAAAAAAAAAAAAAAGAACAGATGTTGATTTTCGGATTTTGGAGAAAGATGGTCTCCCTAAGCCTCATTTCTTTAGAACGATGAACATGTTGCTTTAGGTTCCTATCCGATACACAATAGCTTGTCTTTAAACTCAATTTGATTTGATCCGAGTAAATTGGAGAACCGAACAATTATTAGAAAAGCTACACGATTTTCATGCACTTCATGTTCTTATTCGTGTATGGACCTCATGGAATTCTTCTTTGTGTTCTTGCTTTCAATGCATTAGTTGGATTGGGTTTAGGGTTTTTTAAAGGGTATTTGATTTTGCTGCTCTATTTTGGGTAGGAGATAGAATGATCGCTAAATCTTCTTCTTATACAATTGGGGTATGACCGTCTGGACTTTATTTTATAATTGTGGCTTCTTTTAGTGGCTTTATCCACCTCCAATCATGTTTTTTTTTTTTTTAATGGGATTCAATAAAAATATCAGCTTGCCAAATTGTTATATATATATATATATATATATATTATTATTATTATTATTTTCTTTTAATGTAACTAGGTTTTAAAATTGAAATATTTGAACGTAGAATTATACTGAAAAAGACGAGAACTTTAAGATGGTAACAATAACTGGTGTTTATTCATTATAAACTTGTTTTAGTTTTGTCAAAATTAAAATATGTATAGCAAAACATATTGTAAATATAATAATGTAAATAAATAAACTTAAAAAGATGTTCATAAATTAGTTGCCCGAGACGGACTTTAGATATTTTTTTTTTATCTTACCATTTGCAATCGTAGGTGTCCACACAAGATTTAAAAGCAATTGAATTGTGTAAAATGAATTTATTTTTTATTTATTCTCACTATGAATTTGTCTCGGGGCTTCTAAGCTTTTCTGGAGATTGAATCATTTTAAAGGAGAAATTTTATTTTCTTTGTATGCAAGGTTGGTATGGCTGGTGTTTTGTGCAATTAATAATATTTAGCATTTTTTAAAATAAATCTTATGAAGTTGAACCTAGGAACATCGGGCCAAAAGAAGGATAGAAATACCAAGTTTAGCTTGAAATAGTAATTGTTGGAATACCTATGAATGGGAGTGTTTGAAGCATGAATAACATGTACCTTATGACCCGATTTCCGTGTTATTATTTATGTTATAATATTCAAATAAACATTACTTCTCTTTGTGTTCTTTGTGTTGCTACGTTAATATAATCGTGTTTATGTACCTACGCTAAGTTGAATGGGAGTGTTTGAAGCATGAATAACATGTACCCTATAACCCAATTTCCGTGTTATTATTTATGTTATAATATTCAAATAAGCATTACTTCTTTTTGTGTTGCTATGTTAATATAATCGTGTTTATGTCTTACAAGGAACTATAATGTATCATGTAGGATAAGTATGAATGAAATGTCATAAACACATGTATATCTCGTAAAGAATTCATGTCTTGTATGGATGTGTACATTCTCATTGAACCATAATTTTTTAATGCAATATCTCATGTATGTATAACATGATCAAATGTCATAAACACAGGTATATCTGGTAAAGAATTCATGTCTTGTATGGATGTGTACATTCATTGAACCTTAATTTTTTAATGCAATATCTCATGTATGATAACATGATCATGGATTACTTATCTAGTAAGTTATGTACGGAAGCACCTATGATATTAATTCGTCTTTCTTTCCATTCGGTTGATTTTTAGCATCGTACATGTCTCCTAACCCATAGTCAAGTATAAGAGATACATTAATGAGCTAGCCTGGTTGATTCATATGCACGTATGTAGAGAAGTACTCTGATCTAAATCCACCCGAAAAAGAAAGTAGAATGTAGAGAACAATCATGACAAATAGGTCTCACCCATCGTGATAGATATTGTATATGAATGCATTTCATGATCCTAATAGTGAAATCTTTTATGAGTGTTTTTAAAAATATATATTTTATATTTAACATTTTTTAGGTAAAGACAAGGACCTCATATACGAACAACGATGTCAATTGAGGAGGCTATATAATAAAGTTGTCGACCGACCTTTCTACATTTTTGTTGTTTCGAACTTTGAATTTCTTTTTTAGGAGCCTCACATGGCATGAATTAGGTAGTGCTCTAAAATCTACTGCTAACCTAGTCTCTAACCTAACCTAACCCAATAGATGCTTTTACATAATTCAGTTATACGTAATCCAGTGCCATAGTAGTCCTACAATATATGACAGAGGAGATCGATGGTGTTTGTCACCAAAGTAAAATACTTTCTCAAAAACCTCTTTAAACTGCTTCTATGCTATTGTCTCATTGTTAACGTCAATGGACCTTGATAGTGTTTGTCACTAAATATGTCCATTTTCTTGAAACATGACCACAATATTCTAACTTTATAGCTTGCATGATAGCTTGACATAGAAGATCGATTCTTTGGACATTCCATCAGATGGTCAAGAATCTTACCTCCTAAAATTGCGTAAATACTTGTGTGGAAGGCCCCCATAAATGCGTCCATGTCTAAGACCTCATGGTTTGGACCAGTAAATCGTTCAAGGTAGAGCTCCTAGAGGTGGATCCACTAGTCTTATGTCATTTCTACCGCCAACTATAATAAATTTACTTTCTAAAACCCTAAATCGTTCGAACTAATTAATATATATATATATATATATATATATATATATATATATATATATATATATATATATATATATATATATATATATATAT